CGCGTCTTATGAGCGCGGAGCAGCAACTTTTTGTTTCCTTCCGAAAACATACAGGCGAGCCCAAACCGGCCAGCACTCAACGCCACGGCTCCCCATCCCGGGCTGCGTATCGACAAGCTGAACCGTATTCAGAACTTCTCACAAAGGAACCATTGCAGGGATTNNTTGCACTTGCAAAGGACGAAACAAATTAACGGAATGATATACCGACAACACGAAATCATGACCCAATTATCTGAGCAATCTCTGACACTGTAAAATACGTTCCGTCTGGTGACCCGCAACCGGTCCGGAAACACAAGCCATCACAAGCCTCCAGCAAAGCACGCAAAGGCCGTGACGCTACACGCGGATGTTGAGCAATACTTGCTGTCGTAAATAAAATCAAACGACTGATCTCGTCTGGAACACCGATCTTTAATCATTTAGATACTATCTTCTGAAGCTTCTTGTAATAACCAGCGATCAATCGTTCATGAGTTATCTAATTCCGATTCCTTCATGACACCGAATACAAAATTGAAGGCTTCCATAGACTCTGGCCCCTCCAATCACCCTAATTATACGGATTGCAGATTCCGGCGTCTATTCGACCCAATTGCGACACGCAAAAATGTCAGCTCTACATATTCATGAAGAATTTAACATTCGAGAATATCCGGTAGATTAGCCTCTTCTACGCTCACGTCAGGGTATGCATATAGAATAATCATCAGAGTCCCAAATATCCCTGANNAAGACGCAGAAATCACGGTCAACGATCATCCGCCCTGGACGACTAGAATTTGGAAAAGGGAAGATATCCTTGTATCTGCTTGCAGGAGGTTGATGCTGGAAAGCCCTAAGTGCTTCTGGCCGTGGCCCTCTCAAGTAAATTACAGGGTAAGTGTAGATCGCCATGGATGGAGGCGCGATCTGGTTGGGAGCGTTGAGTTTCTTTGGAGGTTGGTTGATCCGAGGAGCTTTCGAACCCAAGATCGATCCGCCGCCTTGTGCTTGCCATTGTTCTTGCAACAGCCCTGTGGAGAGCTCTGCAGATTTCAGTTGGGGCTTGTACACGATCTTGGGGCTACTGGTCACCGTGTGTGTTGTGCTGGCTACTAGCGCTGCCTTGGGCCTGAGGGTCACTGTGCGGAGCTTGCAGGGTGAGCAGGAGCTTGCAGTGCAAGTCAAGGGCAAGTCGAAGGGGGTCTACGGAGCTACCAGGGGATTCCAGCTGACTGGCTAAATGGTATTTAGTCCTGGAGATGTTTGCTATGTCGACTACGGGGAGCAGCCGATTGTTGCTCACACTCGCGTAGTGCTGGCTGTGATTGATCACTCCCGCCATGAATATGTAATCCTTACTCCAGACAAAGACGTGTACATTGACATCCTCCACGAGTCCAATGAAGATTTTGTCCGATTCTTCTTCGCCGGGCCTCAGGGAGGCATTCCTAGGGGAGTGTCTGCTCGAAACATTTATGCATTTTCTCCCATGTCCCCTGCGGAGCTGGCTGTGCACATGCAAGCCGGGCGGGCCTTGGCAGAGGAGGAGCTGCGAAATCGGGGCGGAGGAGATCAAGGTGCAGGTGTTGGTCCAATTCTTGCAGAGGTTGCGCCTGTCGCTGAGCTTTGGGTGCTCCATGAGTTTGTGAAGAGCATAAGATAGGAGAGACGATCATTGTCCCGAATGGGGCGCCGCGGCTAGAAGACCGAGCCTTGGTCAGGGTCACCGACTCGGATGGGGATGATGCTCGGACGGTCTCAGTGAAGTATTTGGCTAACGGCGAGAGGGGCAGGAACTTCAAAGACACAGTCAAGGAATATGTCCAGGTTGAGTTCGATGATTGGCCGCTCCAGCCTCGCACTTGCCAGGACTACCTGAATGCTGTCTGTGAGGTTGCGGAGTCTTGTTACACTCAGCATCTAGCTTGGGTACAACAGGCGAAGATCCCTGAAGGCGACCGAGCAATCTACGAGGATGAGCTTCTCAGCAAGGTTGTGGACACAGCCGTGCGCTAGGATTGCCTCAACATTGTTAACTTGGCATCCTTCGAAATGATCATCCGTCGGAAGCACTTGCTTGCAGAAGCTCATGTTGGCAACCCTAGTGCTCCCTCTTATGAAGCCTCGGATTACTGTATGGGTAGACGCTATAGGCCGGGAGGTGGCATTGTGGTTCCTGCTTTGAGTGAGCATGTTGCAAAAAGGATGCATGAGGATTCACAAATTCAAAAGGAGAAGCGCAAGTTGGCAGAGTCCAAGGGTGCCGGGAAGAACAAAGGCAAGTCATCTACGCCGCCGAACCCCGACGGGGGAGGCGGACCCAAAAAGTAGCCTACACCCTGCAAGGCGCCTAGGTGACCGAGGAGCTGGGGCGCCTTCGATATATTTCTTCCTCGGGATTTTCTGGCTAGGGATGACAGGCAGGCAACGCGATCTTTTGCCATTGCCACTGCTGGTGGAAGAGGCCATCCACGAACATGGCAGGTTGTCCCGGGTGACTGTGAGGAGAATTCAAAAGCGAGCGCATGTACAGAGGGAGGCAAACTTTGTCATCAAATCCCTGAACGCACTCTACACGGGCGGGAGTTCCTCCGGGCCTGGCGTAATGGTGTCGGACCTTAGGGAATTACCATCGGCTCAGCGGCATGCCATATCTCACATACTTCGTCGAGTTCGCGAATGTGGCCCGCCGCCTTTGCATGTGACCACTGCAGGAGCCTTAGAAGCGCTCCGCGTCGCCTACAGTCCTTATGGAGGCGACTCAGTGGGTGTGGGCGACGTTGTTCCAATGAAGTTGGATTTTCTTTCCATTCCGGGGGTTTGTGGCGATTGGGTGGACATTACCAACAAGGTTGAGGGTACCCCAGGAGAATATCTCAAAAATCCTCTAGAACTCATGTTGCAGGATGCTGACAATTGGGGAGCGGTTGCTGATGAGGCGCGGAAGATCCGTACCTACGATGACCCGCAACTCCGGCAGAAGAAGTTCTACATGAGTTTCCTTAAGAAGTTGAAAGAGGCTGGCGTCCTTGCATTCTCCCAAGTTGCAGCTGGCAGAGTTGGTGCTTTCGTTGTTCGCAAGAAGCCAAAGGAAGTAGAGGGGAAGATGCGGGAGAGACAAAGGCTTAGCCTTGACTGCAGGCGGGTAAATGCTCTTTTTCGTGCACCTCCCGTGACCGAGCTAGGCTCGCTCCCTGCTGTTGGTGATCTCTACATCCCGGAGGGCAGTGACATGTTCATTTCGGGGGGGGATATTCGGGATTGCTTTTACGCTTGCCGATTGCCGGATGAGCTTCTCAGCTACTTCTGCTTTTCTGTCGATGTCAGTGTTGCGGAGGTGGCCGAGATTTACGGGGGCAACCTGCCTGCAGAGCTGCGTGGCATGCCGAGTGACTTCATGGTGTGTCCGGGGCTAAATGTACTGCCTATGGGTTTCTCCTGGTTTTTCTATCTGGTACAAGCCCTACATGTGCAAGCCTGCAAAGATGCAACCGTCAAGAGTGGGGAGAATTTGGTGCTAGATGCCAGGCCCCCGCCCTCGTTGACTTCGGGATCCACGCTGTCTATGCCTTATTGTGACAACACGCGTGTTCTCAGTTTGAGTGCTGGTCGCAGTCAGGATGATATGGACGGGGTCAAGAAGAAGCTCGAGGATTGGGGGTTCGAGGTGCATGAAGAGGTTAGTGCCACCACATTGTTCCCAACTCTCGGTGGCGTCATTGACGGTCAGGCTGGCGTGGTTCGGGCTACGAGAGAGATCCTGGAGGCTTAAAAGAGTATGCCAGTACGTAATCAACAATCCAGTGTCATCGAAGTTGGTGCAGCAGGTCTTAGGGCACAGCATGATGGTCATGGTACTCAACCGAGCAGGCATGGGGATCTTCCGGAGTGCCTACGACTTCGCGGCCAAGGATTTCAAGCGAAAAGAATTGTGGCCAAGCGCTAA